ATAAGGAGTTTGTTATTGAAAATTGGTACTATTCAAATAAACATCAGCAACAAGAGTTATGTTGTTGAAAATATGGTGGTGTACTATTCCCCTCACTATCAGTAACAAGGACTATATTGCCAAAAATAGGTTGTACTATTCAAGAGTAATCAACAACATGGCATATGTTGTTGAAAAGTGGGTGGCCACACTCCCTCCTCTAACTTTTAGCAACACAAGTCAAGTTGATCAAAATATGGTTTCAACAACGTGACTTATATTGCTCAAAAGTGGGAGACAACACTCCCTCTAACTTTTAGCAACATAGGCCAAGTTATTGAAAATATGGTTTTAACAACATAACTTATATTGCTCAAAAGTGAGAGACAATGCTCCCCTCTAATTTTTAGCAACAAAAGCTATATTGCTGAAAATGAAACCAAGTTTTGGTGTCGAATTTTAGTTATTTTGGTCATCGGTTTATCACTAATTTATAGCAACATTAGCCATGTTGGTAAAACCATATTTTCAATAATGTGGCTGATGTTGTTAAAAATAGTGAAAAAAGTCATTGGAAGACACGTTGCTGATAAAGCACCATGTATCAGCAACAAAATGCTTGTTGATAACGTATCACCCACCAAAACTTTTCCAACAAAGCTTTTAGCAACAAAAACTATATTGCTGAAGGACTTTCAACAACATGGAAAGGACTTTCAACAACATGGAAAGCACTAATGCACTTCCAAGTTGCTGAAGTTAGGGATTTTAGTAGTGATGTCCAATCACAACTACTAAATATGTGAAATATAGTGTGAATCTTAATTTTATCAAATTCATCACATGATTATTATTATTAGACATCTTTGCATTTTTAATGACAAAACATCTTGATTTTTCATTTTCTTATTTTAAAATAATAATTAATTTTTTTATATTTTAAGAATAATAAATATTTTTTATTTTAACTTTACAATTATTTTTTAATTTTAATTATTCATTATATTATAAAAAAATTATTTTTATTTTTTTAAAAGTAATTAAAATAGATAAAAATAAAAATTTTTACCTAAAAGTTAGTGCCTATTATAAAAAAAATATTTATCTGGACGGATGAAGTAATAATCTTAGAAACTAATGTCTTTAAAACCTTATCTTGAATATTTAGTTAACTAAATTATCTACGCAATAAGTTTTGACAAGAGTAGGTTCCGTTGAAAATTTTTAAAGAAAATAAAATTCCTTTATTACACCACGAATGAAGACTTAAATAATTAACAAGTCAAAGAAGCTTAAAACCATGTTTCTCCAACTTCATAATTATGTAAAATAAGACACTGAACACATAATCAACAAATGAAATAATTATAAGAAAGGATTTTGGAAAACAAAATTATATGATGTCCAAACAAGGGGCAAGGTAAGTATCATATGACCACACCATTGGAATGCCTAAAAAAGCTTCCATTATTTCATTGATGATTCAGAATTGGTACACCAAATTAATTTGATTTCACGTTATTAATATATATGGTACAACAAATTATCTACAGAAACTTAGGTCAAGATTAGAATCCCATATCACTGCACCGTGCCAGACCTCCACGGCTCGCACCTCCTGCTGTTGCTGCAATTTTTGGAGAGGTCGCTACTCAAGAATCAATAGCTGGGAATTAGTTCAAGATCGTACATTTCCTCGGCAAAGACCAATCGAACGAACGACGTGATTTTGGCTACCTTGAGACCCGAGCATTGTCCCCGACGGCGCTGTTGCGATTTCAAGTTGATTCCATCAGCTGCGAAAGGAGCGAATTGGGGCCAGCCAGGATTAGGGTTTGTTTGGTTGTTTGAAAGATTTGGAAATATTATATCCCAATTCGCCTCAGAAAAGAGTATAAATCAAGAAAGAACCCTAAATTTGGGGCAGACGCCAAAATCTTGGGACGGCATAGATACTGGATGGGGGTTTGGGAGAAATGTTTGTAGACAAAACTTTCAAAAGACAAAGAATTGGAGGATTTTGAATCAAATTTATTTATTTATTATTATTATTATTTTTTTGATGAAGTAATACATATGGTACAAATTTTTTAATAAAAGAAGGTTTAGTGTATAAATATACTAGAAAGTAATTTTCACTGTAAACATTAGGGAATAAGGAGAATTGCGTTCGTCTTTATACCAG